GTAAGGATAAGTCAGCGCCTAACACGCGTTGCCGGGTAGCCTATTCCCGTGAGAAAGACGAAGTCTACGTATTCAATGTCGTAGCATTAAAAGAGTTAACTCATTTAGCACAACGTTATGTGCAGAACGGATCTGAACAATATGCATGCTAGCCCGACTCAAACGGTAGTCGGTAAAGGCTCATCAAACCCGTTGATGACTGAGAATTTGCCAAAAATTCTATAAGTGTGAGTCATTGATGCATCAGCTCTGCTAGTTGGTCTCGTGACTCGATTATCCAACAACATTAAAATAAGATCCACAAATGCAGATGAATCAGCTTTAACAGTTGGTCCTGCAACCCCGACACTTGGGACCGATGTGCTCCAATACCTTAAGAGCTTAAACTGTGTATACTCCAGTAAACGTACGAGTATAAACTATGTCAACGTACGAGGTTCGAAACCCTAGGGTCAATGCCGGTCAACGCGTAACCCTAGGTCAACGCCGGTCAACGCGTTGCGACAAAAAGTCAACATTCGACGTTCGAAACCCTAGGGTCAATGCCAGTCAACGCGTAACCCTAGGTTAATGCCAGTCAACGCGTTGCGATAAAAAAGTCAACGTGAGTCAATATATCATGATGGAGATAGTCAGTTCAAAGTCAACTCGATGACACGAGCCAAACTCAACTCATCGGTTTTAGATTTGAGACTTCGACGACGGCCAGACGATAAACGCAGCGCCGGAAGGATTTCAGCTATTCGTCAAAGCATCGAATAGACTGAAAATCGAAGGAGTTAAGAATTAAAGCTAACTACAGGTCCATTACGCCGACTGAAGGCTAGGCCAATCATATCCAAAGTATTCTAGCCTCTTTTACAAAAAAAACGAGTCTGGAACTCTTTGGAGGGGGTATCTGTAAGCATCGAAAATTGCCTATAGGTCTCCGTGAACGGCTCAGTGCTAAGAAAAGACGATGAATGTCATGTAAGCATCGAAAATTGCCTATAGGTCTCCGTGAACGGCTCAGTGCTAAGAAAAGACGATGAATGTCATAATCCAAGTCACAGGAGCTTGATTGATGTTGACAAACACATAAAGTGGGTTGACGAACTATGTGAAGCAACGGAGTTTCAGAATAATGAGGATACGAACGGATCGGGAGCCACGTGTCACTTACAAAAGACGAAATACCCTTCGTGTCTCATTTATTCCATAGATGATATAATCATTGGAGCTTATAGAACTCCTCATCGGCTTTCCAACGCACTTTGAATCGCTTAAATCCGAGTTCGGATGAAAAAGTTATGGCGAAAATGGACAAGTGTGCAAAACAAAATGTCTCAGCCCGAGCCGAGACACCCAAGGGTGTCTCAGAACTTGTGGAGCTATTTTGACCATGATTCGTTTTGAATCTGAAGAAACTCAAAACTGGAAAATTGTAGATATATTTGTCATCTTTCTAACCCATCTGGAATCCGGTCATTTGGAGGTCATATGAGAAAGTTATGCCTAAAATAGCGCCGAGACATCCAAAGGTGTCTCGGACCTGGCCGAGACACCCAAAGGTGTCTCGGAACTTGTGGAGATGTTTTGACCATGATTCGTTTTGAATCTGAAGAAACTCAAAAAAGGAAAGTTGTAGATATATTTGTCAACTTTCCAACCCATCTGGAATTAGGTCATTTGGAGGTCATATGAGGAAGTTATGCCTAAAATAACACCGAGACACCCAAAGATGTCTCGGACCTGGCCGAGACACCCAAAGGTGTCTCGGAAATTGTGGAGCTATTTTGACCATGATTAGTTTTGAATCTGAAGAAACGCAAAACAGGAAAGTTGTAGATATTTTTGTCAACTTTCCAACTCATCTGAAATCAGGTCATTTGGAGGTCATATGAGGAAGTTATACCTAAAATAGCGCCGAGACACCCAAAGGTGTCACGGACCTGGCCGAGACACCCAAAGGTGTCTCGGAACTTGTGGAGCTATTTTGACCATGATACCATTAGAATCTGAAGAAACGCAAAACATGAAAGTTGTAGATCTCTTTGTCAGCTTTCCATCACATCTTGAATCACTCAAAACTGAGTTCATATGAAAGAATGAGAGCCAAAATACTAAATAGGGTACAGACTGTCTCGCACAGGTGCGAGACACCCCGAGCTGTCTCACACTTGGGACGTATTTTTGACGGTTTTTGATCAGTTTTAACCACTCCGTTATCCCCTCAAACCTATAAATACAAGCCTTAGGCCTCATTTTTTGAGGGACTGGAATTTTGGAGAATTGGCGAAGCCCTGCCGGAGTGAAGAGTGATCGAGCACTTCAACGCAAGAGAGTTTCTTCGTCAGATCTACATCACCCGTACCCGATCCTTAGTATTATCCCGTTGTGGTAATACTAAGAAGAGCAAATATCTCGCTTTTATCGAGATAGGCGCTTCAAGTTTCTAGATCTCCTCGCGGATCGACGAAGCTCTGGATCAGATCTGATTGCCAGGTAGTCCACGGATATCGACGTCCCTGTCACAGGCTAAAGACCCACGCAAGCAAGAGACGACGAACGGATCTTGTGTTTATTTTTAAGAAAGTTGTAATTTTTATTTCTTTGTTGTTTGAATTCATTTGTAACGTTTGAAGTTTAATGAAATCAATGATGAAGGCAACTTTCGACGAAAACAACAATGACCAATAACACAATGCTTGAAAAATATCAAACTGCTAATATAAAAATCAGCACAACAGTTTCTTTATGAGCTCAAAGCAATCCTGAATATAGTACTTGAAAATAAAACAAAACTACCACGACAACTAAATCTCACTGATCATATAGAATCGAAAGACTCTAAAAACACCCATACTGGATACATGTTCCTTGAAGAGCCCTGGAGAAATTCTCTTGGTCAAAGGATCAGCAATCATCAACTGAGTCGGCAGATGAGGAACCTCAATCAATCCTTGTTCGACCTTATCAAGGACTAACAAGTACTTCACACCGATGTGCTTATTCCTGCTAGAAAAATTCTTGTTCTTTACAAATTGTACGACTGCCTGATTGTCACAATACAACTTTACTGGTCTCTGAATGGAATCCACCACCTTTAGTTTACTGATGAAATTCTTGAGCCAAGAGGCATGCAATGTTGCTTCAAAAACAGCAACATATTCTGCCTCCATGGTGGATGTCGTCACTAAGGACTGCTTGGCACTTTTCCAGGAAACTGCTCCTCCAGCGAGCAGAAATATATAACCTGATGTTGATTTTCTGCTATCAGCACGTCCTGCGAAATCTGAATCTGAATAACCAACGACTTCTAGATTTTCAGACCTTCTGTAGACCAACATGAAAAATCTGAATCTGAATAACCAACGACTTCTAGATTTTCAGACCTTCTGTAGACCAACATGAAATCCTTGATCCTCTGCAAATATCGCAAAACCTTCTTTACAGCTTTCCAATGAGCTACACCAGGATTTTGCTGAAACCTGCCTAATATTCCCACGATATAACTGATGTCTGGCCTGATGCATGACACTGCATACATTAGACTGCCAACTGCAAAGACATACTCCTTAGAGTTCACGAGCCTACGCTCAACTTCATTTCGTGGGCATTGAGATATGTTGTACGTATCTCCTTTGACAACTGGGGTTTCACATGTTGCACAAAACTTCATACCCTATCGTTGAAGGACTTTCTCAATATAAGCCCTTTGAGATAAGCCCAACAAGCCTTTAGTTCGATCTCTATGGATCTTGATGCCCAAAACATAATGAGCATCTCCGAGGTCTTTCATATCAAAATGCCTCGAAAGAAAAACTTTAGTCTCATGTAGGAGATGAATATCGCTGTTGGCAAGCAATATATCATCTACATATAATACTAGAATGAGGAATCAACTCCCACTGATTTTGAGGTATATGCAGCGATCGACAGGGTTTTCTCGGAAGCCATATGACTATCATGTTGCGAGCAACATCTTGATAAGTACGATTTCTTCTTTCAGCTACTCCATTTTGCTGCGGAGAACCTGGGAGAGTGTACTGAGGAACAATGCCTTGTGACCTCAAGTACTCAATGAAAGGACCATGATTTGTGCCGTCCTGATCGCTTTTACCATAGAATTCCCCACCTCGATCAGAACGCACAGATTTAATCTTTCTTTCTAATTGTTTTTTCAACTTTAGCTTGAAAGATCTTGAAAACATCCAGTGCCTCATATTTGTGGTGAAGACGAAAAATATAGGCATAGTGCAAAAAATTATCTATAAAGGAGATGAAGTATCGCTGGCCACTATGAGAGAGAATGGGAAGGTCCACAAATATCTGTATGAATGAGTTCAAGGAGACCTTCACTCCTGAATTACTATTAATCCTAGGACGCTTTGTACCAAAAGAAAATGAATTCACAGACATACAGAGAGGGGAAAGAAGAGATGCATCCAGATTTAATCTATAAAGACCGTCAATTAAGAAACCATGTCTGATAACATCCAAACCAATTTTGATAGAAATAAAATTATTCTCAAAAACAAAACTATAACCAGATTCAGAAAATCTAGAAACTGAAATAAAATTCATTCTTATAGGAGGTACATAGAAAGTGTCTGATAAAACTAAGGAAACTCCAGAATCCAAGCGCAAACTAAAAGTCCCAACGAGCTCCACCTCCAAAGGCTGTGAGTTTCCCAAAAGTAGTTGCTCATTTGTCCTTGCCTTCCGACTGTGGATTATTCCCTCCCTTCTTCTTCAACGACTGCTTATACATCAGACAGTCTCTCTTCATATGACCAGGTTTCTTGTAGAAGAAACATTCAACTTTTTCACTTGCTGAAGAGGTGCTAGAAATAGTTGAAAGATTACCGAAAGACTTCTTCCCCTTATTGTGCCCTTGATACTTGAAGGATTTCTTTCCTGCCTTATTTGGTCCAAGCTTGTCATGTGCTAGATTTGCCATCTCAGCTTTTTCTATTTTCAGTCGCTCTTCATCGGCAACACATACAACAATAAGCTTCTCATTTCCTGTCTTGAGAACTGTAGTTCACCTTAAAAGTGTCAAATTTGCTTGGTAGAGAAGCGACTACAAAATGAACCATTAGATCATCCTCTAACTGAAGTCCCAACTCCCTGAGACGAATGATCAACTGAGAGACCTTCAAAATGTGCTGCCGAACATCACCACTTCCATCATATTTCAGATTAATGAGTTTGACCAGATAATTGTACTGTCTCGCTCTAACGGATCCCTCAAACTGCTTCTTGATGGTCTCAAGCAACTCCTTAGCAGTTTCACAAGCCGGAATCTCTCCACGAATAGTTTGGTCCACCGATGCTCTAATGATCAGCATTGCAAGCTTGTTGGCTTTGACCCACTTAGCATGAGATTTCTTTTCAGATTGACTTGATGACTCATCAGGCTCTTCTGGCTTATTTTCAGTGAGAACATAGTCGTAGTCAAGACACCCAAGTACTATTTCAACTTGCATCTTCCAGTTGCTATAGTTGGAACCGGTTAGGGGCTCAATCCCAGTCAGATGCTTCTGGATAAACTGTCCGTCCATCTGCATTACACCATGGACGTATAAATCAAATGAGACCTTCAATTTTATTAACTTTAATATTTCCACATCCAATTTAGGGTTAGAATGGATGGGTCAGAGTGTTTTACGTATGCAACCGTCCACTCTGCGGGACAGGCGGGTGCATCATCTCATCACACCTTTGGCAAGTGATTTGATATGTTATTCGCCCCCCAAATGTGATATATATAATCACCTACAGAACTAGCCTACACAATGTCAGTTTGCTTTGAACACTTCCTAACCTTTGGGCAATAGGGTTATTCTCCTCTTACTGACATGTTTCAACTATCCTGCACCACTTATCCTGTAGGGGATTTCCTAGACACCTTTGGGCAAGACTAGTAGTCCACCCACAGATAAGTGCAACCTACCAGTCCAAATGAGACTAAACTCAACCTTAGAAAATTAGGGTATTATAGGTTGGTCACATTTGGGCAAGACACTAACCTACTCTACCATAATTTCTAAGTGACTGTTTTACTGATCTTCCTTAACCCCATAGATTGATCTAATACTATAATCCATTTTATCATGAACCCAAATATTTACCCCACCTGAATTAAGGATATAATTAGGGTAAATCAATTATCTTTATGTGCATACAATAATCTTTATGAATTGTCCAAATTCCTGTACTAAAACTTTATAAAATGAAAATAAAAAACTATGTAGTTGAAAAATACACAGAATGATCTTTCCAACGACTATTTATGGGCTCAAAACGGACTTAAAACGGATCTGTAGCGACCAAAATAAAATAAATGGTCAAAACTGTAGTGGGTCGGGTCTAGAAATTAATGGGTCTGGCCCATTACATAATGGGTTGGATCAGAATTTTAATGGATCCAATCCATTACTATAGCGGGTCGGGTTCATTACATACTGGATCGGGTCTGGCTTAATGGGTTATAGGGTTATATAACTCAAATAATAAAAGATAGTTAATTATACTAATTAATTTAATTATTAACTAATTCAATTAATTAATTAATTAAAACCCTAACCCTAATTTTTTTTTAAAGAGCAACCGCCAGCACCCAAGCCTTAATTACCCGCACCCTCCCTGCCGCGCCGCGCTGGCCCCGAGACCCGCCCCTCCGCGCTGCAGCACCGGCCAGAGCCCGAGACCGAGACCACCCGAGACGCAGAGGACCTGACCGCTGCCGGCATAAAAGAAAAAAACGAGCAGCCATGGCCATGGCGAGATCCGCTAGGCGTTGAATATTTTAATCGATGTTCATCAGCAAAAGTTGATCACAAATATTCAAAATCGGAGAACCAAGCGATTTGAACTCCAGCCATTGCCGCATGAATTTTTTTTTTATGTGGAGAACCAAGCGATTTGAACTCCAGCCATGGCCGCATGAAAATTTTTTTTAGCAGTTAGACAGCAGACCCAAGAAAACCACAGCGGCCAAAAAAAATATATTTGCTGCGGAAAAGTTCCGTAGCCATGGCTGCGAGGATGACATCTTGCTCAAATTAATAAGAATTTAGTTGATGTTCCTTTGATAAAAAAAAATTTATGCCCAAATAATCCACAGTCAGCCATGGCCATGGAGTACAGAGATTAAAATAAATAAATTTAATCCGAAAATAAAACTTTAATTCTAGATCAAAAATTCATGTACAAACTGTGCTCTGATACCACTGTTGGATAATATAACGATCTAGACATGAATAATTGAACTAGAAATTCAGATTAAAGTTACCGTTCACCGACGAAATAATGGAAGTCTTCTCCTCTCTCCTCCCGTAGCCAATGATGGGAATTAGATCTCTTTTCTGCATACGGTTGAGAGGAGGGACTCCCACCCTTTATATAGATATTTGTGATTAATCCTACCCATCATGGTTTAATCATAACCGTGGGATTACACTCCAATCGATCATATCCTTTAGATATTCAAGATAACCACCCAACTTGATAAACATGAAACTTGTCTAACCAGACCATGTGGTTAGCATCCTGATCCTAACTTGAATCGATGGCAACTTTAAATCAAATCCAAAACGAGTAGGTTGGGCCACATGGGTTCGTTGGATTAATCGAACCCAACAGACTGGTCGGCCGTTTTCTTATTTACGATCGTTAATTATTAAATTTTCGGCTGAAATGACTATGAAGATACTTTCAAATTCTTCATTGTACATGTAAGTTTAACAATCACAACAATATTTTCTTTATGAAAGAAAAAAAAATGCAATTGTTGTTATCATAGCGTTAATAAGAGTAAGATGGTGCGAGCGGTAGCTTAAACAAAGTCTACTCCTTATTTTATGAGGAAGGATTTCTTAACTCATTTGTTTATCATGGTCCTTGCTTTTATATTAAAAAGTGTTTTCAATGTTTCAGTGAACTCTTTCTACAAATTTCTTATCTCAAGAGGTATTAAATCATCTTTCTATTCTTTATCTTGGAATCAAGTTCTGCCTAGCAAGGTGCAAGTTTTTTCTTGGCTTTTGTGTTTTGATAGATTAAACACTAAGGAGAACCTTCTTCTAAAAGGTTGGCATATTGATCCTTTGTGTCCATTCTGTTCAGTTCATTTGGAAACTAGGGATCATCTTTTCTTTTCTTGCTCTTTTACGAAACAAGTCTGGGATCATTTCAGAAATACATCTCCTTTTTTCCAATGGCCTTCTTCTCTTGGAGATTTTATTCACATCCTGGAGACTTTTAAAAGCACCAAAGGACACCTATGGCGATCAATTTTTTCTTCAGTTTGCTGGAATATTTGGATTGCACGGAATAATTACCTATTTGAGCAAGCTAACTTCAATCATCACTCCATCATTAACAAAGCAATATTCTGTTTATATGAATGGTCAGGTTCCAAATCTGGAAAAATAGCTCATCAAGTTGCGGACATGCTGGATAGCAACCCACTTCATCATAGCAGTGCATGATATGCTTGGAAAGTCTGCTAATATAGCTTTTTTGGGAGTGTTATTTTTGTATATTTTGACTTGTATATACTTAAACTTTCGGTAGCATGTTAGGTATCAGTATTTTAGTTTCAGTTAACTTTATGTATGGCTGGCTTTGGTTCTTTCTTGTATCTATGTCAACGGTGAATGACGGCAAGGCCCTCTCTTCACCTTCATGGATCCCTGGAAGAAGAAGGTTATACATCCCTAGTTACTTGGAACTAAGCCTACTGTTATCTAACATTTTCGTTTTTTTTGTTGTTTTTGTTTGGATACATTTCGTATCCAATCTTTTGTACTACATACTTTTTATCTTTAATTGAACAGGGTATATCCCTTGTTTTTCTTTCAAAAAAAAAAAAAAAAATGTTTCTTCAAGGAAATTTTTTTCTGATTTCTCAAATTTGTGCATGTAGAGATCCGCCCTAACTTGAAGCACTAACTTGAAGCAAAGAAGAAAATATTAACTACGGCGTGAAGAAAATTAATCCGTGGTAGTAGAAGGATAAATTTTTATCTAAGAGAATGATCAATGCTATGCATTCTATGTAACTAAAACAAGTATATGTACATTTTTTTCTATTTTTTTTCCTTTTTTTTTATAGAAAAAGGATGGATCACCGAACTAATGCTCCTGCCTGCTTTGTCAAGGATGGTTGTTACAAATTATAGACCATATTCCCAACTCAAAAAAAATATGGTCTCACTGATTAATGTTTTTACATGTAATTCAAAATCCCACACACCCTTTATACAAACATCGAAACATAAAGCCATTCAAAATCCCACACACCCTTGATTACAAAAATTTGTAATCCCACACACCCTTGATTACAAAAACATAAAGCCATTCAAAATCCCACACACCCTTGATTACAAAATTTTTTTTTCCTTTTTTTTATAGAAAAAGGATGGATCACCGAACTAATGCTCCTGCCTGCTTTGTCAAGGATGGTTGTTACAAATTATATACCATATTCCCAACTCAAAAATTTAGGTGTGTTTGGTAATCAATGTGTATTTTTTTTTATAAAAAACACCATATCATGATGTTTCTTTTTCAAATGTGTTTTGAAAACACCATTTTGGTCAAACTAGTTTGACCATTTATATAGCGACAGTGGGCGGGCGGCGGCGGGCGGCGGCGGGTGGCC